GAACTCGCTTTTAGAGCACGTTGTTAGGGAGTCTACGGTTGATGGTTTCGAGCGTCAGTTAGATGTTCTTGGGCGGCAGTACCAAACCTTTCCCTTCTCCTAGCCGACTTGTATCCAACTTTCCCTTTGTTTGTTTTTTAATTTGCTCACACCTTGGTATTAACATTAGGTGGCTGACATTCCTTCTCTTGTTTTCTTAGCTTACCCCTCACTCTTTTAATTCATTGAGTTCGTTGAGTTGTAGAGAGCAGGAGGGAAATCCCTTGTCAGCCCCATCGATTCCGTGTCATACTGGGTTTGATGCTTGTCGTTGCGTTACGACGTTCCTCGAGGGTTCGTCGTAATTGCAGTGACAGCCGCAAGATTCCAGCATTCTCAGCGAATGTTTGTCTAGCAGCCACTTGAAACTTTCCTCGGATGGAGCGTCTGCAATTGCTTCCGGTAAGCTGTTCCAGTCATTCACCACTCTAGTGGATAGGGTGACGTCCTTGCGAATTTTGTGTCTTCTTTGCTTAAACAGCTTCCATGTGTGCCCTCGGGTGGAACAGTCAGTGTTGGGCCGGAAGAATTGTTATAACTCACTTCCAAGTTCCCCTCGGAGGATGCGTCTAGTGTAGATGAGGTCACCCCGGCGACGGCGGAGCTCGAGGGAGAACAGATTTAGCTTCTGGAGTCGAATGGGGTACGGGAGATCACGTAGCCCCAGAACAGTTTTTGATGCACGTCTCTGAACCTTTTCCAGCACAGCGCTTTCAAACTTTGAAAGCGGATGGCTAGCTGGTAGGCCATATTCTAAGACTGGACGGACGTACGAAGTGAACAACGGTCGAAAAATCTCGGGAGTCATTCGAGTGAATGATCTTCTTAAGGCACCTACCAGTCTCCTTCCAGTGGCCACCTTCTTTAACGTGTCCTGCGTCGTTCTAAGGTCAGAAGTCACGATAAACCCGAGGTCTCTCTCGTGGGTGGTATTCCTAAGGAGAAACCCACCAATGTGGTATGCACCGTAAGGTTCGGTGCCACCCATTAAGAGAGCAGCGCATTTATCTCGGTTTACTGGCAGTTCCCACTTGATGGACCATTCGTGTAGCTGTTCTAGAGCCCCTTGTAATCTGTCCGCATCGTCAATGCTGGATACTGTTGACCAAAGCTTGAGGTCATCGGCGTAGATCAAGCAGTCGGTTTGTAGCGCAGTCGATAGATCGTTAATGTATAGTTTGAAGAGCTCTGGTCCAAGCCCTGATCCTTGGGGAATGCCACTAGTAATGGTGGGTTTGTACCAATTTGACCAGGAGCTGCCTGGCTTGAGGAGGGTGGTAGCAAAACAGTGAGCACCGGGAGGTGCCCTCCCACCGTCAGAGGCAATGCATATATATATATATATATATATATATATATATATATATATATATATATATATATATATATATATATATGGTTGGCGGCATCCGGTTTCGGATTTGCCTGTCACTGTGGCAAGCCACAGGACGCCTGCGCCTACAGAGGGACCATGGATGGCTTGCGCTGCACCACCCACAGCTCCAACCACATACCCCATATCCAGTGTAAACCCGAAGGAATAAGACCGGGAGGCATGCGGATGGGAACCACGTTTCATCAACGGAGCCGGCCCACACTCCTTCACAGGCAAACACAAGCACGCTGTATTTGGGGAATCAACCGCACACAAGGCGGTGGCTGGACCGTAGTCCGCTCCACACTGAGTGCATGGAACCGCTCTTTGAGCCTAGCACGGCCACAAGAACCGTGCACCCCGTCCCCTCCAGCAACGACCAACTGTCTCCTGGAGCCAGTATGAACGATGTAGTGGGTAATAGACAGGTAAGCACCTTGTCAACATACACATCAAGCGCAACCATACCAGGGATATCAAACAACAGCCATTCAATTTAGACGACAAGCTGAAATAAAATAAATCCAATAATGCATACAGATACGGTGGCATAACTTCGCTAAATTACCATATGAAGTAAGTTGGTCAGCAACAAATCCGTGATAAGTAAGAAATGTCCACAAGTTACTTAAAATGCTACAAACGCAACAAAATTGCCGAAGATAAGCGCAATTAGTGTAAGCAACGTGACCAGTTAATAGAACATTATTCAGGGAGGCAGAACAAACCAAATAAAGCGGAATGAAATTTATCCAGCTTAAAAAGACCTAGTTTAAGGGTAAGTTGGTTTAGCCCAACTGCGGTGAAGAAGCATCAAGAATGCAACATCAGCCTCAGCATGGGGCAATATATATATATATATATATATATATATATATATATATATAGGACGGATCGTTTGAAAGATTCTCTGCAAACCAACCTGGGTAGGTCAGTACACGCACTTATACAGTTTCGTACCGATAAAGTACAAACGAAACTTGGTACGTTGCCTGTATTATCAGGCTACAAGGATTTGCAACACTGAGACACTGGAAGCGGAAAAGAATTTCATACTCAAGATATTAGAAAGCAACGGGTACGCAACTGCTTTCAACAAAAAGCATTCCTAACTCCGAGCTGAGCCTGAGCCGAAAATGACCGTGAGAAAGAAAGATGTTTTCCTCTCAGTGCCTTTCAAAGGAGACATACAATTCGAACTCTTGAGTAGGAAATTGACATCCGCACTCTACCAAACGTACCCGGCCGCCAGAGTCCGAAGGCACGCCGAAACCGTTCAGTTCATCACCAACCGCCTAAAAGACAGAATTTCGGCGCAGTCCGAATCCTATGTCTTATAACAGTTCACTTGCACCTGTGGTGCGAGATAGTTCGGACACACGACCAGATGTCTGTCAAAGCGGATAGCGGAAAACTGCGCTGCCTCATTACACTATGTTACCACTAGGAATATTCATAGCTCCATCCTATAACACCTAGTAGATAGTGGACATAACATACGAACGAAGGAGGCCTTCAAAATAGTGTAGGTAGCAGCACAACGCTGCACAAAAGGACTCAGGAAGCGTCTACTGACCACAGCAGAAGCAATTGCGAGCAAGCAACTGAAGCCTGAACTGTGTAAACAGCGTGCACTTATGCAGAGTTTAACCCTACCACGGCCCTAGTCTGGTCACCTGACTTCTGGCATAGTGGTCAATAGTAGCGGGTTCAAATTGACATAGACTGCCATCGTCCAACCGATCGCAGCATTCAAGACTTTGTGTCGCATCGCTAGCAATAGCTACTACACAAATGATTATGAAGCTCATACTTGTAGTTGCCTGAAAAGATTTATCGGAAAGATATTTCTTCGCAATTTTCTTTTGACATCAGAATGGGAATAATTTATGAATATACAGAAACAGACTGCGCATGTTTTGAGCGCTCAAACGCAGTTCTGCATTTGATCTGAAGTGACTATCACTCGCCTCCGCATGTGGCTACCAGGCTCATTCTCAGTTTACGGGTTGTCGTACGAAGACCAAGGCAGAAGACTGACGATGTACACCATGTCGTGTCGTCAGTTTTGAGTTGACCTTATTATGACGCACTAGATAATAACTTTGGCAGACCCCTTTATACTGAAGCTGCTGCAGGTGCGAGCAACAAGGAGCACTCGCGAGAACCGGTAAAAGCTTGTAGTAACGGACCTAAAGCGGATAGCAATATAACCACACAAGGAATACGTCAAAGGGACTCAACAATTAACGACAAAGGAACTTACAGCACAAATGTCGCTGAGATCCGCTCTTGGGCATGTTATCAAGCTTGTTCATCATCTTTCGGGCCCCAACCAGGGAGTCGGCAGGTACCAACCGATTGCTTTCATTCCTACTGAACAAGTCGTCTGTCAGCCTCCCTTTATCTCCTTCCATTAATACTCCAGTCGCGTTAACACACGTCGCCGGAGTCGATACATTGGCACGCGCAATGCCTGATCCAGCCATTAGAGCCTGATGTGTGAAATAACGGCGCTGTGCGGTTTACTGGCACATTTTGCAGCGAAAATAAGGTGGCGAACGCGATCACTGCTCAGACTGTGTTTTCACCAGTTATGAGCTAGGCTACGGAGACGCCAATGATGGTACGCAAGCAGCCTCGATGCCCATCGATCTGACTGATCAGATATTAAGAAGCAACACAGCCGCGATTCAAACGAATGGGAAGACGCATTGGTGGGAAAACCACAACTGAAAGAACGAATAATAAAACACTGAAATTATCGGGTACTGGACCGCTTATCAGGCTTCGAAATCCAACAGTAGTCACAAGGCAATTCTCCAGAAACTGGCAAATTGCCGCACGCAACTTAGAGAATGTTGAGGGAGCACGTCCGCAGCAGCCCTTGAAGCCATCTCTCTCCGAAGCAGCCCGCAGAAGTGGTCGCACGCTACCTGAGGCTAATTGTCTAACTAATGTGAGTAAGCCAATGGTGCCGTTTTAGGTTGTAGTAAACTAATGAGAATGACCTGCCTTGAAGCCCTCCAGTAACCGCACTAGTTGAACAGACAACAAGCGAGTTTTTGCGCAACTAGAGTACAGGAAGTTTCCCTTAGGTCAATCTCTCATAAAGTAGTTATTTTGACCCCAAGTTTTGAGTGTATATACTGTCTTCCAGATGCTCCATACAATTTACGCCTGTCTTCTGATTTGGGGAAGTGGCTGAATCATGGCCTGAGCGGCTGCATCGGTTATGTGTATTGTCAGCTGAAACAAGTTTTTGGTGACGAAAGCAAAGGTATTTTGCTTCAATAGCAGCAGCAATTCGGGGCCGCAAAGCTGAGAATGATCGAGACCCTAATCCGAACACCAGTGGCCTTTGTCTTCTGATTTGGGGACGTGGCTAAATCATAGCCAGAGCGGCTGTATCGGTTATGTGCATTGTCAGCGGAACCACAAGAGAGAAAGTGCACACCACGTGATGGAGAGAAGATGGTATGACGTGGATCAAATGTCAGTATTGAGTCGAAGGACGTAGTCGCCGGTTAGTGACAACGAGTTCACATAACGCGGTGAAATAACCTTCTAGTTGAGCGAAACTCACCAAATCAACCAGCTCCATCGCACGCTCCTTGTCTCCGTCCAGACTGAAATGGCGCAATAGCATGACGTCCAACTCAGGGAACTATAAAGGGATAAATTGCATCGATGGTTAGGCACTAGATGAAAAATGAAAGATTATATAATCCGGATCAGTAGGTATTAGGAGACGGAGACGAATCGAAGTACTGTCTGTTATAACATTCGTGGCAAAAATCTGGGGACCTAAATGGATTTCCTTTGGTTTCGCGAGAAACACACCAATAACACAAGGAAGCGTACTGATCATGCGTGACGAAGCGCTGTAATATTAAATCGCTGCCGGTTATTTCACGAGCGGAAGTTTTAGAAAAAGAAGTTAACCGCAGATCGAACCGATTCTGGAGTGTAACATAAAAAGGTGCCTCCATAGGTGTTGCTTATGTGTTCCGCGAGTGCTGAAGAGCGACTCGTGAGAATGGAACATTACTTGTCGCTGAATCAGTTGACGGCAATGATAGCATATGTGTTGCTCAGTGTAAAAGTGCAGGTCATACCAGTTTTATATTTGCATGAAAGGCGTGTACCCTAAGCCCCAAAAGCGGTGGTGCAAGAAACAGCAGAGGGGGGTAAGTGTGAACAAAAAATGGCGGAAGTAGAAAACCAAAGGAAAATCTGTTATAGGAGTTGTCAGGTACTTTTCCATGTCAGTAGCCTCCGTAACAGTTTAATCCAACCAAGCATGAAGCCCATTGGCTAAAGAGTCAGATAATGAAAGTAATTAGCAGAACGCTGGTGCGTTGTACCGATGTCTCGCTGCCATATGACCATCATCACTCGTGCGTAAGCTGGAAAAACTGCGAGGTCTCCAGCACCGACGCAGACTCGAACAGATGACCGCAGAGCATGCACTTTGTGCCTTCGGCTACCGGCAGACTAATGTAAACACATTTGTCATGGAATCAGTCAGTGAGAGCCCTTTTGGTTGGGAGTCAGCCAACGGGGATGTTTAGCGGCTTTTGAGAATTGTCAAACAGAAACTTCCTCACGTCATTGGATTGAGTCATACAAGTACTATTTTTCACTCTATAAACGTTTATCTACTGGGGCTTAATTAAAGTTTTGGTCGGGACCTCTATCTTCTGACCTAGGAAGTGACTGGTCCAGGATTCGAAATAAATGCATTGGCTGTCCGTATTGCCAACAGAAAAGATACAAAACTACTGGGAAGAAAGCGAACAACAGAGTGTTGTTGAAGTCTTGACGGAGCGCAGTGTCTGATAGCATGTACATACGTCATAATACATGCTGGTTAGAGGTAGGACACACCTCATCCATTGTACCGCAGTAGTCCCATACCACGCTTAGGTACCAACGCGAATCACTTATTCCACTAAGGTCCTTGTGCTCAAATGCAGTGCTTTTACTTGTACGCCTTCTGGTCCCATTCAACCACAGAAGCATTGGTCATATATCCAGACCAATAGAACGCATAGGATTGAAAGCATTGTGGGGTTTGGTTACAAATTCCATACCATACAGAGCGCACTTTCGATGACATTGAAGACATGAGAAGTCCATTAATAACCAAAAACAGAAAAGACGTCACCGACGATGCAAAATGTGAATACCAAAAAGCGATGGAGCAGTGAGCCAATAGATCGTAGTAAATTGAGACACATGTCAGTGAACAGCTTACGCTTTGCGCTGCAAACAAAACGGGACCAGTTGCGATGCCCGTCTGTAAATCGGCTCCACCGGACGGTTTGCCCAAATTTTTGTCGTCTGCGACGAAATCGAGAACATCGTCAATCAGTTGGAATGCCATGCCTAAATGGCGTCCGAATTCGAAGATGCATTCGATCAATTCAGGTGGTATTTTTGGTCTAGTCAACATTGCAGCCTGAAAGAGAGAGAGATTGGGATGAAGGTGCGATGATTACAGAAAGTAGCAGTCCGAAACTCGAGAGGAAAGAGGTACAGACGTCTATGACCAAAATGAACACTTCCTTTATAGAAGCAAAAGTATTCTGGAGGGGTGTGAAAACCAGATTAGATGTTGAATGCCTGTCATGAGACTAAGAACAACAGGCCATAGCCTGCTATTCGACCATCAGAATTCATGGACGGTACGATCAAGCACCATAATTATCTACTCTAGTTTGACAAAATAAACATGGTAGATGTTCGCTTTTCAAACGGGAACGTACCCTGGAAATACACGCATTTCTTTATTTATTAAAGTTATACCGACTATCGCGATCACAATAAAAGTAATGGAAATATTAGGTGGATGGAGTGTTCTCTAATCCGAAAATTTGTTATCATGAACTGACGTGACATCATCAGTAGCAGTGCAGAGCAATGCGAAGTGTTACTGAGTGTACGTCGGGTAGTCGTGTGTGATCCACACTAATTTTTAGCATCAATACGCTTCGCATTGATGATGTAGAGAAAAGAAGAAAGAAAGGCGTCCGCAGTTGGTTTGTACACTGTACCGACGCTTCACTACGACGTAACTCCCAGCAATGGTGCATAGGCTGGGCATACGTGGATTCGAACCGGTGGCCGCGGGATTATAACACAGGCGTAAGATACTTTCGAACACCGATTGGATGGCGACAAAATGTTTGCACCAGAACTGCAGTCAGGAAAACATTCTGACAACTTACTAAATAATGTAGGCAACCAATATTTATCTTGATAGTAACAACAATAATAATAACGCATGAGAAGTGGGAAAATAAATCACGTGAGTGGTCAAGGGTCAGAAACAAGGAATGCGAGAACGTCATTAATTTTATGACGCTCCATGTTAGATAAAGCAACCAACCACTGGTGTGATCGACTTCAGTCACCATGCTGGGAGATGACAAAAACCAGCTCAACTGGGCCTTTCCGTGAGCTTCCAGTATCACGTGGTTGACGGACCATCTCGAGGGCTCAACTAACTATGCGCAGAACCGACATGCAATAGCACTGACGCATCCTGTTTCCACGCACATGAGTGAACTCTTGGAGATCATATGTATTTAACAAAAAACGCGATTAATAAACCAGGAGGCCCGTCACTAAACACCAAGCGATTAATTTCAGTGTTATCTACCAGTCTCTCACTAGACATCAGTAACAGTTCGTCGGCATCCGTGGTCAAACACAGCCAATCAGGTAATGCCATAGAGCACAGTGATATCGCCGGTGTATACAGTAATTCCCATCGCGTCGCATAGCTATAAATCTTCCCCCTGGCCGGTAACCCTACATCCCACAGTTACTATAAACTGTGAAGGCTTTAGGATCCATAAAAGTCGGTAACGATTGTGAAACTACTAGGGATGATAAAGCCAGATAAGTGGACCGAATAAACGCTACAAATGGTTGTTCGACGATTTTAAGAACTCGTGGTGCATCGATTCCGTCCTTTAACAGTACTTTTCCCAGTGAAAGTGGAAAAAACTTACTAAAGTATGCAGTAATAGCGTAGCAGTTGAGTTGGACTCAAAGAGATCCCTATCGTCTGCGGCCAATCAATTGACAGAACGCCGGACCCAGGAGAAGTGGATAAGACAGGAAGTTTCGATCGCCAAGTTGGAAAAAGTACTGCTCTGTAGTGACGAACTCGAGTGAAAATTTCTCCTCGGCGTTTACGCGGCATAAGGAGACGTGGTGCGGAAATCATAGAATAAAATATAATACAAATTATCACTCTCCAAGGTTGCCGGAGGCAGTAGAATTTCCGGCATACAAGTGCCCTTTGTGGAAAGTAGTCAGGATGGAAAAAGAGCAACAACCACAACAACAGCATCTATAAACTCCAGGAATACTTTGGAGTGTATTGAATAGGTCGAAGCTTCAGTAGACGTAGAAAGAAGTGTTTCGGAACGAGTTAGTTTATTACTAATGGTCCACTCACTAATACGCAATAGCAAAATCTAAGGCAGCACTATTTCATCATTTCAGTAGGCTTGGTAAATGACCAATCAATGTATTTATCGAGCGCACGATATCTCGCTGCTGATACAAAAGTGCCTTCAGACAAAGTGGACTAGCTTGAAATTGCGTGACATTTTATGACGATTGTGGGTAAGTTGCATATAGAGAGTAATTAACCAGTTGTTCATTAGTAAAAGGGGTTACGACAGTCAAACGTCATCGGGTTCACGTGTACTGCAGTTGGAGGAAACGGGGTTTGAATCGTGGGCTAAATGGGGAACAAAAGGTACCGGTCGGAGGCCTGTTACAGGTGTGTGTTGGGCTATATAAGTGGCCCGGTGAGAGGAAATCGGTTAAACGACTGATGGTAAATGTCCTCAATACATAGGATCATGGTAATGGAAGTGTTGATAGACCGTCTCTGATAGGCTGCAACTCAGATTACGCAAACAGACAAGTTTCGTGACAAACTTACTTCTACCCTGGCAGTCACTTTTTAGTTTCCTCCAACCAGAGTACCCGTGAACATGATGATCTTTGACCGCTGTAATCTTTTTATTATGGAGCTGCACCTTGATTACGCTCTGTATGCAACTTACCCACGATCGTCATAAAATATTACTCAATTTTAAGCTAATTCACTTTGTTTGAAGAAGTTTTGTGTCAAAAGTGAAATGTCATGCGCCCAAGAAAAGCATAAGCGATCGTCCACGAAGGCTTCTGAAATGATGACTTCCCCATCTGTTCCAAACATATCCAAAGATCTCGAAAACAATAGCATTAATGAAGATAAACATGTCGAAATGGACAAGAACTGAAAGTGTTAGACAGAATAGTTCAAACAAGATTATGGAACGAAAGCAATAGCGTCAATGACACAGGGACTGTTGTGTCCGAAATCGAGGAGAAATTCAAATACTCGCTTTACTTAGCTTTTCCGTAAAGTATTCCACGCTCGGTGACAAAACATCAACCTGCAACCAGGATTTCACTCAACTAGATGCAATACTGGTAAACAACGCACGACGAGGTAGCTGGTCTGAAGTTTCTAATAAATAAATAGAGGTTTTATTTGCGGCAGTGCGGAGCACGCTTGCGAAAGCATGATCATTATAATACAAATAGGTATACTCAGTAGTTGTATAAAAACAGCAAGTTAACTAGTAACATACTGGATTAGTGTGTGAGACTGATGTTGCATTCTTGATGCTTCTTCACCGCAGTTGGGCTAAGCCAAGTTACACTTAAACTAGGTCTTCTTAAGGTGGATAAAATTCATTCCACTTTAATTGGTTTGTTCTGCCTTCCTGAATAATCTCCTATTAACTGGCCACGTTGCTTACGCTAATTGCGTAGCATTTTTAAGTAAATTTTGGACATTTTATACTTATCGCGGATTCGTTGTTAACCAATCTACTTCACATATTAATTTAGCGAAGAGTTATGCCACCGTATCTGCATGCATTATTGGATTTATTTTATTACATCTGGTCGTTTCAAGTGATGGGCTGTTGCTTGATATCCCCGGTGTGTCTGCGTTTGATGTGCATGTTGACAAGGTGCCTACCTGTCTATTACCCACAACCTCGTCCATACTGGCTCCAGGAGACAGTTGGTCGTTGCTAGAGGGGACAGGGTGCACGGTATTTGTGGTCGTGCTAGACTCGAACAGTAGTTACATACACTCAGTGTGGAGCGGACTAAGATCCAGCCACCACCTTGTGTGCACTTACTTGATTCCCCAAATATAGCGTGCTTGTGTTTGCCTGTGAGGGAGTGGGGGCCGGCTTCGTTGATAAAACCTGGCTCCCATCCACAGGCCTCTCGGTCTTATTCCTTCGGGTTTACACTGCATATGGGATGTGTGGTTAGAGCTGTGGGTGGTGCAGCGTAAACCACCCATGGTCCCTCTGTAAGCGCAAGCGTCCTGTGGCTGGCCACAGTAACAGGCAAATCCGAAACCGGATGCCGCCAACCATATATAAATGTGTTGTTTCATCGATATGATATGAGGCACACACGTGGGACGTCATTTATTATCGCGAGTTGTCAAGGTAATTCGGCTGTGCGACCTCTGTTCCTCAGGTGCGATGCATTATAGAAATCTGAACATGCGTTTTTGACGGACATACACAGAAGGGTGCCTATTTTCAGGCGAAAGATGACGAACTTCGGTTTCACATTTGGGAGTTCTGATTAGATAAGCACAATGCTTCATATGTACCAGAGGACAAACAAGGTTAGACTCCAAGTGTCTTCAGCGCACAACGGTGATATAATAAGATTCACTTATAACCTTTAAATTCAGCTATCCCCATGATTGATGAATGTTTTGAAAAGTCACTAAAAAACTGCTTAAAAGTTTACTTGTTCCATTGATCTTACCCGGTTTGTTTGTAATCAAAGCGTATTTTGCATTGTTACTGCAACTGTAGGTATCAAAGGTAAAAAACATTTATATCACACATAGCAGTTGAATGGTTATCGCATTCGTATGCAATGCCCAAAAGATAAGAGGTGTGTTCATGTTCCCATGCGACAGTCGAAGCACTTGCGACGAGTGGCGTTGGACGATAATTTGAGAGTGGTCGAACCAACAACATTAGGATTCCTTTCCTCCGATACATAATGCAACTGCGAGGCCTTTATGCGGTGTGTTAATTGACAGAAGTAACCACTGCAATTCAATGTTTGGTTCGCAGTTGACAAACAGAAGGTGAAATCGAAGACACGTCGAGTGAACGAACTTGCGTGCTAGTCGCTCATTTGTGCAACCGTGGTTTCTTCGCTGTTGCTCAGCGACATTTTGTCGCACACCTCTGGAGTTATACTTATTCATCGTGCTTTAAGTAGCTCCACCTAGTGACACCATTTTCTCGAGTACACTCCAGTGCAACCAACAGTTACTGCGAATTCTAAATTTCGGACAATGTTTCACCGATATTCAAGCACAAAAGGTTGCGTAACTCCA